ATGGCCAGGAACCCTTTGAAACTGGGTGTCGCTGAGCTTCTGTCGCCCCCTGCTGGTCCAGCTACATCTCCCTAGTCCTCGGTTGTGATAAAATCTAATCCCGTGGCCCTCACTGTTAATTCACTTGAAACTGTGTGTGCAGAAAGATGTTAGGTTAATAGGGAAGTCAACGCTGCTGTTCAGCCCAGACTATCTGCAGAATCCCTTCCTGCCCTTCATCAGAGAGATGCACTCCTCAGGTTTCAAGGTGGGCTGACTGGTGCTGGCGGTGGGCATCTAGAGAGAATAGTTCCTCCTCTGAGGTCCCCCTTTGCACAAAGCTCTGTGGGGTCTCCTGCAGGGACTCTTGAACATACAGTGCTGGCCGGTTAATTCCCCATGATTTTCATGCCTTGCAGCTCAGGAACGTCCACAACCCTGGTAAAAAGCCTGGAGAACATACAGAAGGCTGATCCAGAGGTAAGGGAAGAACTCTACCGTTCTGCTGCTGGGCCCAGCGCGGGGCCGGGTGGATAAGGCTCTAAGGCTCTAGCATTTCAGGTGGTGCCATCAATTCCTCTGTGAACTATCTTCCTCAGTGTTATGTCTCAGCATGCCGGCCGGTGCTGGGCAGGGAGCAGGGGCTCAGGAAATCTTCAGTAAGCGAGCGAGCAAGAGCCCCCGGGGTAGGAGTGGGGTGGGGCTACAGGGCCTCCTGGTAGGGCTGGAGGAAGGAGCACTGGACTCAGAGCCATTTGTCCTGTTGTAAGGTCCAAATAACCCGATGATCTGCAAGAGCTTCTTCATCTGTGGCATCATGAGGGAGCCATGAGGGAGAATTGTGGTGAATTCAGGAGTCAACAGTTCAGATGAAATCATTCAGAGACCTTAAGTAGGAGGATCAAGAAGTTCTTCTTCTATATTAGTTTGTAATGGAGCTATAAATAATTGCTATTAGAGACTGAGAAATGAATTCATTTCCTTGAACTTCCTTTCCTTTCCTTTTTTCCTTCCTTCCTCCCTCCCTCCCTTGTTTCCTTCCCTCTTCCCCTTTTCTCCCTTCCTCCCTTCCTTCCTTCCTTCCTTCCTTCCTTCCTTCCTCCCTCCCTCCCTCCCTCCCTTCTTCCTCCCTCCGTCCCTTCCTTCCCTCCCTTCCCCTTTTCTCCCTTCCCTCCCATCCCTTCCTCCCTTCCTCCCCCTTCTCCCTCCCTCCCTCCCTTCTTCCTCCCCCTCCTCCCTCCCACCCCCCTCCCTCCCTCGCTTCCTTCCTTCCTTCCTTCCTTCCTTCCTTCCTTCCTTCCTTTAAAAACTCCTCTTTGAGTATTTACTTTTCCATCTTTTGGCCTGTTTGTGACCCAAGAGTAGGTTTTGTCGCAGCTGGGGCCTCAGAAGCCTCAGAATTTATCACTGGATGACATCGCCTCCCCAAATAGTGACAGGAATACTACCACCGACCTCACAGATGTGAGATTCAGGGAGGGCTGTTCCTGCCACGTAAACCCTGTCAAAGAGATAACCGCAGTTAGCTGCTGATCAGTGCCATCGTGCCAAGCCTCTAATTAGAAGGAAATAAGCACAGGGTACAAGTAATCTGGCAAGATAAGGGTTCCCTGCTGCTACCTAAATGGCCATCCAAAGATGTTTATCTTTTGAAGCAAAGAATGTGGTTCAGATAGTGCTCTTCGCGGACTAGCCAATTTTCTTAGTTTGGGGGAAGACTGGGGACTGAATTGTCATTATTGACGATAATTTTCTAGCTCTCAATAACCCTCTGGTGTTGATGCCCTGTGAACAGTAGCAAATGGCCATTTTCTCTGGCATATAACATTTGCCGATTTGGGGGAACGTTTATCCCATTTCTCCCCCCATCCCCCCCTCTAGAAACATGTTTACTCCTCAATAACCACACGGGAGCTGATTGAGGAAGAAGAATCGAGTGGAAGGGCAGAGGCCACCTACATGACCATGGTGAGAGTGGTTCTGGGCCTGGCTGAGCCAGGTGACGGGGGTTGGAGAAGGAGCTGGTGAGGGTACGGCAAACTCCTAGGCGGTGGGCATGGCTGGGTCACCCAGGGAGGTCACTCTGCCGAGGGCTACTGCCCTGTGATGCTTTCTAAGTAGTAGGGAAGTCTGAAATGCTGAAGCCCTGCTGGGTAGAAGACCAATCTTGCCTTCGTACCCAATCTCGAGTAGTTAAGCATCACTAGGGCCAACGGTGATGGATTTTAGTGGTGAGAAGAGGCACCTTTATCAGGCATGAGCAAAGTACCCCTGCCTCATTGGAGGTTAAACACAACTAATAAGGAGGGTACCGTAGATCCTTGGACAAACGTTGTGTGGCGATCTTCCTTCCTATCCAAGAGTCCCTTCCAGTTCTTCCCTTTCTATTTTTTTATTTTTAAAAAGTCTTTAAAAGTTTATTTATTTTGGGGGAGAGAGAGAGAGAGAGAGAGAGAGAGAGTGAGAGAGAGAACCAGCGGGAGAGGGGTGGAGAGAAGGAGAGAGACTGAGGACTCTGCACCATCAGCCCAGAGCCCGATGTGGGGCTCAAACTCATGAACCGTGAGATCATGACCTGTGCCAAGATCAAGTCAGAGGCTTAACCGACTGTACCACCCAGGTGCCCCAATTCTTACATTTTTAAATTCTGTGACTTACGATGCTTGGACAAAATCTGATCGCCAGGAAGGCTGCCTGCTGCATTCCGTACAATAATATGGAGTCGGATTCCTTCTTTCCCTTTCCTCCACTCCACAGGGAAGTACAGCACGTAGAAAAGGCAACTGGGGCGCAGTGAGTAGGAATAAGGACAGAAGGGGTGAGCTGGCGACGGGCATGGTACTATTTGTAGACTAATTATAGGCACCCCGGCCATGAAAGGAGTGGTGTTCTGCTGGGCCCAGAAAGGCTGGCCTCTTGCTCGTGTTTGTTCCCGTCACAGCGGCACTGAGAACACATGACTCCCAGATGATCGCGGCAGAGAAGGACCCTGCCAAGGAAGCGTGAGATCAGGGACCTGGCCTGGTTCCACCAAGTGCAACAGTAGCTCCACTCCGAAGTTGCGTGTAGTCGTATTTACCCCTCTGGCCTTCTCCTGCTACTGCCCTGTGACGCTGCGGTCCCTGCCAGGCCTTGTCCGGCCTCTCAGAGACCTGCTGATGACATTTGCATGGTAGCTGCTGCTGAGTGCGTCCTCACCTGGGCGACACTATCTGCAGAAACTCTGTGAGGTCCACCTTCCCCGTGTTCAGTGTAGGTACTTGGATTGAAACTGGAAAACAGCACTTCTGTCCTCTTGAAACGGAACCGAATAAAGCAAGGGGGATGAGAGGCCAAAGCCACAAAACTCAAAGGCCTTTAGGAGCTGGTCAAGTTATTTCTAAAGACCGTGTGCCAAATTCAGTAAGCGTCTGGACAGATTTTGGCCCGCAGGCCATTTGTTTGAGACCTCAGGTATAGAGGTGATACTCGATTAGGGAGCAGGGGTAACAATAAACCTGCAATTTTGTTGTTGTTGTTGTTGAATTGATCATATTTATTTCAGTGAAGGGGGCACCACGCCTGTGTCCCCTCTCTGAGGCTGTGTGGCATACTGGTTGACGTCACAAGCTTTGAAGCTGGACAGATGTGAGTCCCAATCCTGGCTCTGTGATTTAGAAGCTAGATGGTCCTGGGCAGGTAACTTAGCTTCTCTGAGCCTCAGTTTTCTCATCCTTAAAGTGAGAAGAAGGCGACTACCTCCCTCCCAGGTGGTGAGGATCTAAAGAGTTAGTGCTTGTGAAATTCAGAATTGGGCCAGATCGATGGAGAGAGCTCAATAAATGGCAACTATTATGATCAAAATACTTACAAATGTGCTCTGTTTCTTCCCTCCCTTCCCCTGCAGCACCCAGTTTGGCCTTCTCTGAGGTCAGCCCCAAATTACCCGCCTGAAGAAAAGTCAGCTGGGGGAATCCCCAAACCAGAGCAAGCCTTTTGAGGAGAAAGGAGAATTCCTTTTGTCCTTAGCAGTGGCACAGACTCTGTCCTCTGTGTGTCCCGAGTCACTGTCCTGGTCATTCCGGACCCCTGCCCCCACCCCAGCTGGTTTCCTGCCTCATCGGTCAAAAGGCTGAAGAAGGAGAGTCCAGAACCTGGCAGAAAGACAGGACAGCTCGGCAGGAACGGGCTTCGGTGGAGAGAAGCATGGCGGCGCTCCTTCCGGAGCGGGACACTGGCCCTGGGGACCCCGGCCGAGCCGCCGCAGTGGCCTCCTGCATTCCATCAGGTCCTCCCCTTGGATGTTGGTCTCCATGGATGGGTTTCTGGGAAGAATCACAGAAATCAAAACCAACCCAAATGGTTCCTTTGGCAAATTACCCCTAAATAAACGAGGCTTGTGGAAATCATCCTGTTTATGCCCGGCTGAGGGGGGAGTGGGGTCTTTGGTGAGGAATTTAGAGTCAGGAGTCCCTCAGACTGAAGTGACCGCAGGCCAGTTTTGGCCCTGGGACAGTGTGGGAGTAAATGGGTTGGAGTGAATGGGATGGAGTGAATGGGTGGGAATGAATGTGGCTCGAGGATTTAACCCAACCGCTGTTGGCCTGGCTGGTATCAGAATGGCCGGTGGCTCTTTCCTGGGCCTCACCGGAGGCATCCTTGGTGGAGTTTGGGCATCTGTCTGTCTTTTTCAAAAGTGGAGCTCGTTGGTTGGCCAAAAGTAGACGGCCGCCGAGTTAACTCTTGGTCGGAAGGGGGAGGTCCCTATACGTTTGGTACCATTGTAAGATGTAACGAGGTTCGTTTCAAAGATCCTTTGGTTCTGGGCTCCCATCTCTAGCCTGGGCTCTGCTCAGGCCTCCTTTCTTCGACTGCCGAGGCCCTTCCTCGTTCTCTGTACCCCATCCTTCCCGCTTAGCCCTTCAGGGCGTGGAGTTCTGGTCCAATCTCAAGTGCAGCTACATTTTTGAAGGATTCCCCTGACTCTCCATACATCAGGACCCTCTCATTACACGCCCATTATTGCCTCTTTCTCTTTTACCAACTGTTCTTGGGTGTCTACTCGGAGGCCTATAGCCTCATTTTCGTTCTTGTGCAGCATGGCTAAGAGTCGTTAAATGTTTCCTTCTCACCTGTTAGCTCTAAATAAGGAGGATGTCAATACTTTGCAATATGTGCATCCTGTCCAAGACATATCAGAGAAGTGACACGTATTGCCATGATAAGTAGAGTGAGCAGAGAGACTCTTTCATATCCTAAGGATTCATGGAGAGGAAGTGATCTCGTTTCTGGGCTATTAAGTAACATGCTCTCCTGGGCTAAGGGGTCCCTTTCCACTTCCTCAAATATTATCTGCAGAGGATGAGGACCTTCGGGGTACGGAGTTAGGTGGACGGATGGTGATTTTAACATCTGATGTTCTGGGTCAAAGAGAATAAATTAGGGTAAGAGCTGGAGGGTGGGATGTGCAGTTACCCACACGCTCCTGCGGGGGGCGCTGGGGTCGGGGAAGTGGGGGCACCCCCCACTCCAGAGTTCCACGTGCCCGAACTGGAAGCTGATTCCTTCAAAGTTTGGTTTCCATTCTGGGTAGAGCAACTGTAATTGAGGAGGGGGAAGAGGAAGCCTCCTTCTGTCTCTCAGCCCGACCTCCCCACAAATGTCTCATTTATACACAGGCCTCAAGTCGAGGTTGAGAGTGGAAATCCACAGCTGTCAAATACTAATTTTGCCTAAAACTATAACGGTCCCGTGGGGACCATTGGAAGAGCTGCCTGCTCCCTCATGCCCTCCTCATGCGGGCGGTTCTCTATTCAATCCAGGAGCATGAAGGCATATGGAAGAGGGAATGGGCTTCGAGCTCAAACAAGCCTGGTTCAACCCTGGCCCTGCCTTTTGTTCTTTCTTTGATATTGCAATTGGTTGACTCAGGATTTTGAGGCTGTTTCCCTATAAAATGGAGACCCAGAGGGTTTTTTGTGGCGACTAGATGAGGTGGTTTAGGTGCCAGTGCCTGGTGTGGGCCCTCCATCCCCTTCCAATGAGTTCCTCCTCAGTTGGATTGTCTTCTAGTGATTCCGTCCCCATCTCTCGTTACCTTTTATTTCTGTGGGCAGGAAGTGCTTGAACCCCGCGCACCCCGAACCCCTCTATCCCACCCAAAGGAAGAGAGAGCTCCAAAGCTGAGCTGAGGGGAGGGTTTTGCCCAGCTCCCAGGGCGCACGTTTGGACGGTGGGAGAGCTGCTGGAAACATGCAAGCTGGATCTCCTTGTAGTAGACCTTTTAGCAAGCAGTTTTGTTACTTGAATTTGTACTATTTTAAGTCCCTAGAACACCAGATGCTCCCATGTTCAAAGGCTTCCAGATGTACGCAGGCTTTTGCCAACAGAAATTGGCCTTGAAGGAGTAGAGCGGGTGGGGCCACCCATGAATAATAGAGAAGCTAGCAGCCTCAGAGCTTGGCTACCAGAACTGAAAACACTTCAGCCTGTCCACTGGGAACCTGGAGACGTACCTCCCGGAAAGGGCTGCAGCTTCCGCCAGCCCTTTAGTCTTCGTTCCCCTCGCCACCCACTTTTTCTCCTTTTGGCCAGTCAATATGGTTACATGTCTACACTGGCAGTTTGTTTGATAAAATACTAGCGCTGTGCGTGTGCGTGTGCGTGTGCGTGTGTGTGCGTGTGTGTGTGTGTGTGTTTGGGAGGGGTCTTGCTGCCCCTGACTTAGTTACTCAGAGCCAAAGAACCTTAGGTTGCAAGTTTTGTCCCCACACAGACCAGTTATCCTCTTACTAAGCATAAACACAGTTTCTAAGCACTACTGACCTTTTGTCTTAGCCAGCTGGTTTGCAAATGTGGTCTGTCTTCCTCAAGGGAGATGAGGCGGTCCATCACCACTTCTGTAAAACTCAACTCCCGAACGTACCTTCTTTCTCAAAAAATAAGGGAACTCAGAGTTTTCTCAGAGAGCAGAGACCTTTCCTATTTTGTAGATGGTGCAAACAACAGAGATTTGCCTTTCCCAGGACTTCCGGATCATGTGTTCATGGCCTCCTGAGTTTGGGTGCCATCTTGTCCACCCATCCATGCCTCTTCATTTTCTTTTCATGATGGAACCCTCTGCTCCATATACCTGTGTCTTTCTTGCTTCTGAGCCTTTGCTCTGGGTGTTTCCCTGCCTGGAACTCCCTTTCCCTTTCTGCCTGCCCAAATCAACGTTCTTTCAAGGCCCTGCTTCAGTCCTGCCTGAGTGGATTATTTCTCCCATCTTCCCAGATGTCTCTACACTTACCAGATTTTATCTCCTCATGTTCTCTGTTTGTTTTATGAGTGTGAGGCTTTATTTTCTCCAAGAGATCTTAAGCTTTTAGAGATCCTGCTTCGCGTGTCTTTTCTTTACATCTCTTCTGCGACCACGTGGGTCCATCCCTTGTTAAATAGGATTCCCGGAAATGGCGTGGAACAGCATGTACCGGGAGGCCTCCAGTTCGGGTCCTACCATGCCTTGGCCGCATAAGTTCTGGCTGACGGAGTTTCTGCCCTTTCCCCAGATGTAGACATTTATTCTCATGTGCTCAGGGACCAGTAGAGGCTTAGCTCAAACTCTAAATAAGACCCAGTCCCTGTCCTTAAAGAGCTGTAGTTTAGTTGGGGGGGTAAGATGTGGAAACAAAAGGTGACAATATTTTCTGACACCCAGGCAATACCAGGCATGCCTTTGTTCCTGTGCCCCCTGGAGAGGGGCGCTTATACCTTTGTCTCCCTATCTAGAACGTGAGCTCTCCGAGGGTGAGCTGTATCTCATTCATGTCGGAGTCTCTAGCTTCTAGTCCTAGTACATGGGGGACACTGAATAGATATTTGAGTTTGCTGAGCGAGAGAGTTGGCAAACAAACGAGTGAATGTGCCCCGCGTCACAGGCGCCTACGTCTCTACGTCTCTACGTCTCTGCATAGAGAGAAGAGGTACGAAGAAGACAAAGAGCGGGTGAGTTGGTAGCCGCTTTTTGAAGAAAGACTAGGAGGTGGCTGAACAGACCAGAGAGGAAGGGCATTCCGGGAAGAGGAGACAGCGAAGGCAAGGACACCAAGGTGTGAAGTCCTGGGTCAGAGAAACCACCTGGTGTGCAATGGCTGCAGAAGGGCACGGGGCGGAGAAGAGAGGTGAGTAACGATGAGTCCCTTCCTTGGTGGTTTCTCATCGGGCAGCTGGGTGCTCTGCAGATCCTGAGACCAGCATTTCCTCCTAAGCTTGTCCCTGCTTACCAATCCCTTCTCCCCAACCCCCGAACCTGGCTTCTCACCGCCCATGGCTCACGGGATGCCAACCTTTTAATACGAGTTGAAGTCAGGACTTCAGTGTGCTCAAGAATCACCCGGAGATCTTATTAAAAATGCAGAGGGGCGCCTGGGTGGCGCAGTCGGTTAAGCGTCCGACTTCAGCCAGGTCACGATCTCGCGGTCCGTGAGTTCGAGCCCCACGTCAGGCTCTGGGCTGATGGCTCAGAGCCTGGAGCCTGTTTCCGATTCTGTGTCTCCCTCTCTCTCTGCCCCTCCCCCGTTCATGCTCTGTCTCTCTCTGTCCCAAAAATAAATAAACGTTGAAAAAAAAAATTAAAAAAAAAAATGCAGATTGTGGTTTCTTGGGTGTGAGGTGCGGCCTGGGCCTGGGAGTCTGCATTTCTAAGGAGCTCCCATGTGATGCTGAGGGTGCCGGTTCAAGGACCAACCACACTTCGAGAAGTCAGGCTTTCAGGCGAACTACCTAGGGAGGCTCTCTGTAGCCTCAGTGAGGCATTCCAAGGGCGAAAGGAAACCACCTTCCTTTGGGTTATTTAGAACACTGCTTCTCCCAGCAGGGTAGGTGATTGGGTGTTGTCCAGCAAAAAGTTAGGGGTAAATGGCACCGGGTAGAAATGCCAAAAGCAGGGCTTCACTCCTCAAATAGCCCATCTTTGATACTGGTGTCTATACTCTGCAAAATACCTCTTTTGAGTTTCAGCTTCCCAGCCTTTTACTGGCTCCTGGGGAAGCTTTACGCTTTTGGAGCAAATGGGCATTGGGAGGCCCGAGTGAGCCACGAACAGTTGCCAGGTCTGTCTCCTCCCGCGGGACCCTGCCACAGGCCACTGCCCCCCTGATCGTTTGACCCTGAGTCCTGGAGGACTGAGTCACTCAAAGGCCGTCCTGTTATAAATCATGCACCTGGTTTCTCTTAGCCACATTTTGGAGAGAAACAGAGAGTCGTGTCTTATCTTATGTCCCCAGCCAGGATAGAAGTTTCTGGTCCCTGTGTGAGACCCAATGAGCCGAGTAAGCTGCTTCCCTGAGCCTCTGGGCTCCCTCGACTGCATTAAGGAAAAGGAGGAGGCCGGCTACGTCAAACCAAAACTCTCTGGCTGACATGTGCC